CATACGGAAAGAGAGAATTCCAGGTTGTTATCTTTCCATTTCTCTCTGAACTGGATTTCTCTAAGGATAGGAAATGGAGAGCCCATGCTTAGAGATATGTTGCATGTGATCTGTTAGGCCAGCAAAAATATGCCACTCTCAGTGACAGTGTGGGTCTTCAGAGCTTAATGTTTCGGGTAAGTTTGGGTCACCTTACCATTGAAAGATCACTTCAAACGGACTCAAAAAACAGTCCGTCATTTGCAGCTATCCAAAAAGTAACTGGCGTAATTAGTGTTGAAAAACATACTTGGTTGAAAGATAGTAAGGGGACTAAACTCCCTGTGAAATTATTCTTTCTGGCAAGCTGTCATTTTGAAGTAATCAACGAAAGAAGGCCTTTCCAACAGTGCGTATTAAGACGCACCGTTGGAAATTTCTGTTAGTAGTTCATTGTTTGTATTCAGCAAAGTGCGCGCAAGCTTTGGCACGACGCACACGCGCGAGCGGTTGCTATAATTCGTCGGATCAGTGCACGACATCGCGTAGCTACAATCGGCTTTAAGTAAGAACGTGTCTCGGATGCTGAATTTAGGCCCAATTTAAAACACGATTCAGCAACTTTTGATTTGAAATCGAGATCCTAGAATGCTGTTTATCTCAAAATATACAGCTGAAGCTGAGCTGAAACATCAGGTTAGTTGTTCAGCACCCTTCTTTAGATTTTGAGCACTTTTGTTGCTTCAAACGAACAAAATGTAGAAATTACAAATGATGGACTATACCTTTAATCAACCAGTGGGTGCTTTGTAACATCTCCAATTGTGTACAAAATAGGGCCACTAAAAGCTTCTTCTGGTAACCACCTTGTGTAGAAATAATGGCCTTGCGAGTAGATTTGCTTTTCTGCACCACCCTATTGACAAATACGGGCACGTGATCATGGTACACCCACAAGGCTTCCTTCAATGGAGAAACCATTGTGCATGCTATTGTACAAACTGCTGCCCCCCATGAGGGATTATCTGAACAACAGCTAGCACACTGCTTTCGCCATTGGAGGGGGCCACCGTGATAGAATTGATAGCGTGACCGGATTTGTCTATGGATACAAGGGCACTGGTGATGGCTGATCTCTTTCATAAACTTTTGTCAAGGAGACATACCGGTACACTGTATTTCATCACGAAGGATTGTGGGTACCTTATTACAATGTGTGTATTAAAAGTTTCGTTCACCGTGCTTATCAAGACATTTTATTTTTAATTTTTTCTGTTAAATTTTCAACTTGTACCGGGGTATGTTTTATTCCAACCAAAACCTCTTTTTTTCCCTTCATTTTTGGATGTTTGCAACCCTTTGACAAAAAGGTGGTTGTATTGGGCACAAGCAATCTGGGGCAAGTTCGCGCAAGGACTATAGTTAACCATTGGTCGACTAACGCTTGCCCGAACTCTGTCTAGTCGACGATGGTTAACTACGCTAGTCGACTATTTGGAACCAACCTACTGGGGTTGGTTGCTTCGCTGGTAACCAAAGCCGCGCGCATTCATAACGTACAGCAGGGAGCCAGGATCCAGACGTTTTGCAATGACATTTTGACCAGCGTTCAACTAGAGACGTTCGCACTTTGCTATTAGTGCGCAGGCATACGGTACGTCACAAATCAACCACTAGTCGACTAATGGTCCTTGCCCGAACTTGGCCCTGCTTTGCAAGCAGACTGGTTCCAACCTCGTCCCCAGTGCTTACTTTATTTCCAAACTCGTTTCCAATAGTAAGCCCAGGATAGGAAACTTTCTTCCTGTATCCTGATTCAATACCGCTATTGGCTAGAAATGGATTTATATCGTGTACTTGTTGTTGTTATTCACAACGTGCAGTACGTGTTTTCGTGATCATTCGTCCACGCCTTCTCGAAAATATTAATTTCCTTTCCAATTTGTTAATGTTAATATGAAATGTGATACTGCATGTTGTCCCGTTAAGATTGTAACAGTTTAATTAAAATAAAATCGTGTTTCGTAACTCACGCCATGCTCGGGCTGCGACGAATTAGTTCTGTTTTTACCCCAGACACCGCATACAAAAACAAACGCAAATGTAACGCACAGGCAGGCACCAGACTATTCCTCATTTGCATACGTGTTCAAAAATCTTGCACATGCAAATGATCCAATACCAGGGTGAGAGAGCAGGTAGTGGTGGGCGCGTACTGCTCGACACCCTGGGGACGAGGTTGGACCGGCTCCCAGTCTGTCTGTACATTATCAATATTGGTTGTGAGTTGGGAGCCAGCCTTCCCTGCGAGTTCCAAACGTTTAGTCTGGCAGCCAGTAAATTCGAAATTGTCAATTAATAATTCAGTGACTTAAAATGGGCCGATTAGTTTTTGTCGACCGTTGTCATTCAAAGGTTAATAATTATTGTATCGCTAGAAAAAGTAGCTATTTAGAAAAGAAATCTATATTTCATGATGAAAGTCGATAGTAGCACAGAGAATGCAAATTTAGACAAGATCAGTCCATTATGCAATGGGAGTGCAAGAAATTGTAGAGTTGTGTACCAGTACGTAGCCGTTTTCGGAGTTTACTAAGACCTTGGATTTGACTTGGTTAGTCGCAGACATGAGGACAAGCCTGGAGTGATCTGACGTGAGTTCTGAGGAAATAATGCCAATCCCGGAAACTGTTTTTTCTTGGTGCTTAGAGTCCTTCTTTTTTGTCGTCTAGCACCATGAAAAAGCAGTCTTTGTGGTTGGTATGTACATGTAAAAGCTAAAAGCCCTCACTTGCTGATTTATTGTTCATCTGATGAGGAAAAAACACAGGAACCTTCAAAGACTTCAACTAATAAATTTCACTATGCATTACGACATTTCTCGATAAAAATGCACATTTTTGTAGAACTACCCCCCTCCAAAAAAAAAATAAAGATAGCATGTATGTATACTTATGAATTAAAGTGTGATCTTTATTGACTGTACTTTTTTTTTAACTGATATTTTTAACATGCAACGAAAGATGGACACGGATGAACCATCCCTAGTAAGTTTTGATTAGTGTGTGAAGAGTAATGGCAAAATGCACATAATTCAGACACCGTAAAGTTAAGCCACCAAATTTACCTTGTGTTTGTATCTTTCCTTTCATCTTCTCTGGTATACTTTGAGTGGCGTGCATCTATCACCTTACATGTAACGGTAGCAAATACTAAAATGCAAATTGCACAATATGCACGTGTTTTTGCACACAACTTAGAACATTAGCGAGTGTATATCGGATGAAAGTTTTGAATTTTGTTTTTCACTTCAGTGATATAAAGGAATGAACACCAATTTGGTGATGCAGGAATAAAAGCCATGTTTCGTTAGAACTACAAAAATCCACATTTTGGATTGTTAGCGTTTCAAATAGAAGTTTTCACTTTTTATTCTCCACTAGTAGAAAATACGGATTTTTTTAGCACTCTAAAAACACGTTCTTTTTTCCCTCGTTCTTTTTCTCATGTTACTTTGTTAGAATCTTGTCACATATTTTCATTTTCATTAATAGACAAAAAAATCATTTTCAGTCTTTCTTTGTACTAACATTTATTCCTTTTGTTTGCAGTGTCTCTCAAATTTTAATGTGGTTCTCATATGATGAGAAATTAATGGCCATTGTTGAAGTCAGATTTCAGACCAGTAACAGTAACTCAACCTTCGGTCGAATCAAATTCCTATATTAGTGAGCGCCATCAAAATGTCATCCCTCGCGTGCCACTTAACCACCTTAATGCATTTACAGTATATGTAAACACTGCGTCATCCTCTTTTCCAGTTTCTGGATACCAAAAAAAATAATAACAATTGATAAAGTCAATGCATTCTTCAGCTATAAATTGACTAATTCATCATCCCCCACAAACTGAACGCTTCCATGAGATTTGCGTACACATGACGTTTATGCACTGTACCGGTATATATCTCCTGCCCATTAGTGATACGAAACGCACAATTTGATTATATCATGCCGAAATCTACCTGCGGAGGAGGATGTTTCGGCCCCTGCACACTGATCTTACTTAAGCCGGAGCGAGTCCCGTAGGGAATAGCGCGCTTTGTAAGCGTTTAACATCCCTCAAAGATTTGCCCTTTTTTTTGTCCGTCTATAGTCAAACCTGAGGTTCTTATCTTTTTGTCGATTGTCATTTACTTCAAGGGCAGATTGACTTTATCTTCTTTGCCGTTTTTCCTCTGTACCTGAGGGTGTATTGAGCTGTGGGGTGGGCTCTGCCTAATAACGCAGGAAACGTTTACAGTCACTTGAGAAGTACATGATAAGGAAGAATGATTTTGTGTAAGATTGATGAAGTGATGGATTCAACCACAATTTTTGTTCAAGATGGCATTTGTGTGTTTGACTTGAGGGAAAGAAAATAGTGTTTTTACTTAAATGGAGTGTTAAAGCAATTTTACGGATGATTTTGCTGTGAAGGCAGAAAGTCTCATTTTGTCATTCATTTTAAAGAAGTGTCTGTAACAACATCCCCCAAATCTATTCGATGTAACAAAGTAGACAATCTATTTTGTTGTTAATTTCTTGTAATCTGTATGACATTTTATTCCTCCCAAAAAATGGCCCTGTCCTCTTTGCCACTTTCACATGTGATTTCAAGATTCCTTGCATACGAAAATCTGTTTGCAGACTATAGGATACATGCAACAAACCAAAAGCATTACAAATGTACGTGCCCTTGGGTGAATGCCTATCCATGTGTGCACGGATGCACTGGAGATTCCATGCTGTACAATTATACGAACACGTAGCCACGAATCATTGGTCTCCTGTCTTACACATGCTGCCTGCACAGCATACAGCCAATACAACTCATCCATTCACGTGGAAAATTAAAAAAACAAAATGCCCAAAAGACACCACGCATCTGACCTCCAGATAATGTCATATGTTTTACCTTGCCGTTTCCCCCCTGATTTTCCCTTGCCTTATTTGTCTTTTCATTTTCTCCTTTGTTTGTAGATTCGCGAGGCCAAACGTCAGGAACGACGGCAGATTCAAGAAGCTCTGACGCAGAGAGGCAAAATTGACCTAGGTAATTTTAAAGGGGCGCTGCTGGGATTATTTTACCGCACTGATTAGATCGACCTTAATATTACCGAATCATGGCGTGTTGATCCCGAGGCTTAAAGGGAATCATTTGCTTTTGCTGTAATTTTCAGAAATGGATGGAATTGGGGGGTTGGAAATATACGTGTATAGCAAATATTGTTACACTGACTTTTTTGAGGTTTTGGGTTCGAAAATGCTATAAAAACCAAGAAAAACAATCATTTGCCTGTAGTCTGGTTCCCTGACTCCATTTAAGAAGAAACAGAGCAGTTTACATATATTGGGGAATTGTAAGGTCAGGGAACCAGTCTAGCTGGCTTGTACCCGTTCATACTATGTAGGTGTGTAATCGATTGCAAACAAGTGCAATGGTCAACTGGGGCCAGTATGAAAAAAAAGCCAGTTTTTTCCAACGCTGTTTGGCCGATCAGCGTTGGAAATTGATACAAAAATACCACTTTTCTTGAAAATGACAGGATGCTTTACACTGTCATTCACTAACAGTCCAGCAAGGTATTTCAAAATGATTTGGTAGTTTTATTTTTTGATGTTTGCAAATGTTGTATTTTCCCTTTAAGTTGTAGACGTAATTAAATCCTATAACGTCAAACTACGTGTATTTCAGATACACAAATAATTCCTCAGTTGTTACACGACTCTCTTTTTGATATGCCTAGTAATCCAATCAGCCACCCACTCGGATATATCAAATTCCGTTCTCTCTATTAGATCAAACAAATCAGAAGTCGTCAGTCATTCAACTCTAAACTTAAGGTTTAATTCCAGTTTTTCTTTGATGCTGTTTTGGGTTTGAAATATCCAAGTACATTTAGAGTGTGTTGCTACTGTAAACACAGGTAGCTGTGAGCTACAGTATTTCTGTCTGTCTGTAATATTGATTTAACTAACCATATTAAGCCACCTATGCAAACATACGGGTACATTAAAATCAAACAAGTGACTGTTCTCAACAGTTAAGAATTTCCAGCCTACATGAAAGCAGGATTGACTGGCTGGGACTGTTTAAGTAAACTTGATACAGCTATGCTTTGACTCGCGGTGAGTGATAAAACAGCTGTGACCACAACGTGCCTGCTTTGTCTGTGGTTGACCTAGTCTTGGCACAGGACGTCAGTGATCAAGAACGATTGTTGCAATGTTGTGTACCACCTTGCATAATTGATTTTTTACTTTCTTGCACTAAGGCCAAAAAAAAAAGTCTCCGGTTTCTGGTATGGAGCTTGCCCAAAAAGTGGTGCGGCGACGCGGCTTTTTTTTTTTTTTTACCTGTTTTTTTTGCTTCAAATGTTGGCTGATGACTGCAAATTGTGCCCGACTAAACTTAGTGCCAATATTATGGGAGACCAGAATGGCCACATAAAGCTTATTCTCTATCATAACCCCATCTAAAAACACGTTGAAATTGTGCTGCAGCAGGATTCTAGTCAAACAAGTGAGTTTGGCAGTTTTGAGACATCATCTTTTATTGAAAAAAAACTTTTTCATTTTGCCGACGTGCATGGTTACGGCGACGCGCGCGCATACCAGAAACCGGAGACTTTTTTTTTTGGCCTAACGTCTTGGTCTTTTCGTAGCAATGGGGGCGTGGCCATCTTATGTAGGACCGTCTGTATAAATTTGAACAAAACGGGCAGTTCCCACGTGCCTCTTCCGTGGGTATCACGATGATGCTTGATCACCGCACGTATAGCGCGAATGTTTACAACCGTCGGGCGAGCCATTGAACCATTTCTCGAGCGCTGATTGGTTCCCTATGAAAGCGATGGTGCTGGATCACCGCACGTATACGGGAGCCTGTATGTTTACATTCGTGGGGTGAACCATTTCTCGATCGCTGATTGGTTCCCTAGGAAAGGGATGATGCTGGATCACCGCACGTATACGTAGCCTGTATGTGTACATTCATTGGGTGAGCCATTGAACGATTTCTCGATCGCTTATTGGTTCCCTAGGAAGGCCTAGGGAGAAAATAAAGAAAACGTTAAACCACTGACACGAAATGGCCAAAATGTTTGTGTGAGTACCGTAGGTGCGCTGGTCTAATTGTTGTGCCACTAGAGGGCGCACTATGCACGATCCACTATCGATCACTAGTGTCTTGGGCCAAGGCTATGGTTGACCCAGTTTGACTAGTCATGAGTGCTTGCTTGACATATGGTCTGACTGCTGGTGACTAGCCTTTGTTAAAAGTATAGCAGGGGAGGTTGAAGTGAATTTTGACTGTGACTGTTTAAATAGCACGAGGGTTAATGCTTAACTTGTCTGGATATTTTTTTTTACACTTAATTATCCCTTCATTTACTTAAAAATCCACAAAATTGTTTTTGTAAGTATGTAAGCCATGATAAGTTTACATTGTACAGTGTAACACTATATGTTGAGATTGGCTTGTACAGAATTTATAAGAACTTTGAAGTTTTGTTTTAAACCCACGAGAAGCAATAAAGTTTCAAGCAAAATTTGCTGCACTGTAAGAAGGATCGTGTGCACAATTCCAATGAGTGTAATATTTGTCTCCAATTTGAAAGAAAAATACAGGTGGGTACATGTAAAAACATGCAGGCTTTCATTGGCCTAATTGAAACAGATTGGCCTTTAAGAGCTCTTATTTTAGTGTTTGACGTGATGAGCTCTAAATTTCAGCTATTTCTGAGGAAAATGTGGATCCTCACCAGAGTCTGCCTTTCGTGTAGATTGTGAAAGTTGTCAGGGTTTTCCCATTGAAAGGGGTCGGAGTTCTTTTTCAACCACATCAAGAAGGAAAATTGTATGAAAGAAGAACGTAAGACATTGGGTTATCAGCGCTGTGATTGAAAATGCTTCATTTTCTGCTATTTAACCTTTACGGTTTTTGAAGTATGCCTGTCATAATATGCCCAGTAATATCTCAACTTTCGTCTGCCCTGCAGCTCATCTATTTTCATTCTTAGTCTTTGCCCAAGGTGGGCTTGCTCTCCAGTGCCGATCATACAATATCCTCCGCTATTTTGCTGTCCAACAGAGAGTGAAAGGCAAGAGGCTCGCACCAAGCGCCGCGCGGCAAGAAAACTGGCCACCAAGCTCCAGCAAGCGTCACTCGAGCCCGGAGACAAACAAGCGGGTCCCAGCACTGCCGCCGCTGCAGGGCCGGGGGTCGGCCGAACGCTGAGCGTCATCCCGAGCCGAGGGGAGCCCCGCTCGGGCCGGCTGTCAGTGGTGTCTAGCAGCGACGAAGACGACTACGATGATGATGAAGAAAAAGACGGGTGAGTGTGTGTGCATACACATGCCTCGCGTCGTACCTTTACCTTGCAAATCCTTGTGTCTTGTGTTTCGGGGACCCTGGGGCTATCCCCAGGTACCGTTTTTCTTTCTTCTTTTTATTTTATCTATTTGCTCCAGAGTGATATCTGTTAGCCTCAGAGTGACAAGTGAACAGGATGTTGTTTGAAGGGGGGTGGTGGGGGAGAACTGATGTGGAAAACACTCTGCTTAAAGACAAAGATGGGTGAACGTTTAGACGCTCCGAGTGCATTTAACAAGCAGCAATGGAAGGCCTTAATTAGCTGGAGTCCCAAAGGAGGACCGTAACGGCCGTCTTAATAACTATGGATAGCTCTTGTTATCAAGTGCGCCATACTATTCGAGGGCTAAATTGCACTTGAGCGAGTTGAAGATGCGGTCTCTCTCGATGCTTTGATGTGCTCCAATTCTTTTGGCATTGCTTACTGTATGAGAGAGTCTTTCAAAAGTAGCGTCTATATACATGTTACTTTCATAAAAAAAAAACTGGAAAGAGTCCAATTCTGAAGATCTGGCTTTTTCAGATGATGGGTAGTATCATTAAAAAAAAAGAAGTGTGTCCCCTGCGATCAATTTCAAGACATATAAATTTCATTGAATGACTCTTATTACGAACTGCATTAAGGTTAAAGAAATAATTTGAAACAGAACCATGGTATGGTTCCTGAAATAAAAAGATTCACAAAAAGGTGGACTTTTAGATAAGCAACAATTTCTAGAATGACTTCAAGCATTTTTTTAAGATGCAAACTGCTCACTGACTGAATTGACCTGAAATAAAAATAAAGAAATAGAGGGTCTAACGTTTCAAGCCAATTAGGAACTTTGTCAAAGTTGAAAAAAATATTATAATTTGCAAATAAACTAAGTTCTGCATTTCAGTTTCATAATGGTGTCTTCATTTACAAATATCCAATAAGTGCCCCCAGAGGTAAAATCTTTGCAAAATACCGATAGCAACGTGACAAATTTAAACAGCATTTTTAAACTGCTGTCAGTTCAACATGGCCGACTCCTGAATAAGGCCCATGGATGAACAATGTAGGTAGAATCTTTGCAAAATAGCAACATGACAAATTTAAACAGTATTTTTTTAAACTGTTTTCAATCCAACAAGAAACCAAAGTGTGGTTGGTGTGGGTTAACGTTGCAATAAATTATTCCTGAAATCACCTCAATTTTTATAGTATAGGCTTTGACCTTTTGATTGCAAAGACAAACGAGTGACACGCTCATTCTAATGCTGATGTCCTCCTTTCCCCCCAATCCTCTCAGAGATGGAGCGGAGGGAGACGTTCTCCCGCATCAGCAGGACTTGTACAAGATCTTCGGCAGGAAGCAGGCAGCCTACTTCCTCCGGCCTCGAATCGAGCCGGAGCAGACGAAAGTGGTGCCTGTTCCCCAGTCACTCCGAAAACAAGGAGGTAAACAAATCCTTAATTTCCACAATTGTTTCCCCCCCCCCCCCCCCCCCCCCCGAATTACAAGTCATCCACTCCAGAGCCAAGTCACGATTTGTATGACTTTAATATTGTAATTCAGATGAAATCAATGACACACTGGGTGTCTCCAAAAAATGTAGCAGTCAATCCATAAGTATTTAGAATACTAGCACTCTCGTTTTTGCAAGACTTATCTATAGAGTCTTTATGATGGTCTTTATCCCATCTCATTTGGACACCCCAGTCCAGAGATACAGCTAATTAACATGACAGGACTTGAATTCCAAGTTGGGCCACTTGGTACATTGTATCTAATGAAAGGCATTCACATACCAAGAAAGTGGCCCAAACAGATTTTACTTTGCCGTAATGTTTCAACAAACGGTCCAAATCACGCTGAACAAAAATCCTGTATAAAGAAGCACTCCCTTTTCTTGGGGTGGGGGGGGGGGGGATCCAATGGCCCATCCCCCTGGTCAAAAAGTGGGGGATATATCCTCTCCACCCCCTCCCCCCCCCCCCCCCATCCCCACAGGGATTTACACCCATGCCTGAGTTGTTGCTCATTCTATTTGGTATGGTGACACTCTGGAACAGTAGTAAGAAATGGGTTTTAGCATGTTTTGTTCATGAGTTTGGCTATTTTACATGTACAGGTCGTGCTGGTGTCACTGCCCTGTGGGGTACGCTGAGGGACAACTCCACGGTGAAGCTACAGAAGGCGGACTCCAAGATCCCGCAGGAGCTCAAGGCTGCCTACGGTGCCTTCGTCAGGGAGTGCCTGACCAATAACAAGACGGTGGCCAAGCGCAGCTTCTACAGTGAAGAAGGGGTGAGATTTGGCTCAAAAGCTTCCTTGCAATATGTCCCAACAATATGTGGCATTTTATGGCTTATTCAGGAGAGCCGGTGTTAGGGTAAAGAGTTTCTGCTTGAGCGGAAAACATACTGAAATTAACAAAATTTAGTTTTTTCGAAACTGAAAAGAGTTTTGGTACCTATGTGTTAGGGGTTATGTAAATTGAGTTGACCGGTTGTCAAAAATCTTGAGGAGAATGTCATGGTAGCCATTATCAGACTGTGTCCATGCCCATGTAGAAAAAGTAAAGTCTGTCACGAGCCAGTGTGGCCCATCAGGCCGGCGTTTATCTCCAGTTTCATTAGCATGAAACAACTGAGAGTATTTCTACTCCCCCTAGAATGGGATGCTAGTCCATCGCAGGTTACTCCCCAGCTAATACCGGTACCCATTTATGCACCTGGGTGGAGAGAGGCAAGTGGGGGTGAGTGGCTTGCCCAAGGACACAACATATGACCAGTAGCTGGATTCAAACCCCTGACCCTCTGATCATGAGTCACGAACCCCAACCACTTGGCCAGACTCCCCTGTCCATACCCATGTCCATGTAGTATCCCTCAATGATGAAGACGGCAGAGATAGGAAGACTCTTGTGCGAGATTGTCACTGTTTGTATGACCCTCAAGCGAAGACAATACGGGCTTGTGACCTTCATGATAAAAACGATTCTTGATATTTCCTGCCATATGGCCACAAATGAGTGCACGCACGCATGTGTCCTGCAAGCTGGAGTGGTCACGAAGCATTATCTATTATTGTGTCAGAGCTTTGTCAAACAGCTCGTGAAGAAGTTTCAATTCAGTTGGCTGTGTCTGTGTTAAGAAGCAGTTCAACTCAACTCACAATATAAATACATCCTCACGACCCGTTCATTTCTTGTTTATTTAAGTCATCCGAAAAATTATTTTCGGCTCATTAGAAATTATCACCGGATAAATGTCAAGGAAGGTGCTGGTACTGTGAGTGATTGGAAGCTATCTTAAGTGTTATCTTCTGCCAGCAGAGGGCGCCATTATGCTTTGCAGCATGGTGCAGATCAGTATTAAATTATCCCCAAAAAAGTTGCCTACGCGGGTCAATTCATAATTTGTATGCCCTCAATTTCTTTGCTATTAGAGCATTTTGTAGGCCATGAACTTGAGGGTTTGTATAATAAAAAAAGAAGGGCTGACACGGTGGTGAGCATTTCATATTTCTGTGAAGTTTGGATGAAATTAAGCCCTGAAGTTGCTCGGTTTTGCAATGGCGCTGTTATCTAAATATACTGTCCAGGTTTACCGGAAGTTTTACTCGTAAAGCATCCTCTTATTTGTGATCAGTATTCTCAATTCACTCCCCGGTCTTTCTACCGGAAGTTTTACTCGTAAAGCATCCTCTTATTTGTGATCAGTATTCTCAATTCACTCCCCGGTCTATCTTATTCCAGATTCCTGATGGCGAGCAGTTACAGGACGGCAGCTACCACCAGCGGGTCAAAGACGTCCAGAAGAAAGTGGAGCTGATGTACCGCGCTGCCATGACTAACGAGGATAAGGCATCGGTCCTGCTCTTCAACAACCCGATACCAGACTACAACAACTTGAAGGGCACAGAGGGGCCGCTACGGTACCACCCATCCTGGATTGATGAGGTTCGTAAAGATTTAGAGTGTGCTTATATGTGCACAGGTGTCAACAGACCAATTTGAATTCTTGACGGGGGGAATAATAATGTTGATGTTCTCATAGAGCGCTTTATACCTAAGATTTCAAAACGCTTAGAATTCTTATTTCTGTTCAGCAGGAATGAGATCATTTTTTTTCTGCAGCAGCTCGAGATCAGCGCAATTTGGTCTCGACCTTCACAGGTACCCATTTGTACTCCTGGGTGGAAAGAGGTAATTGTAGTAAAGTATCTTGCCCAAGAACACAAGCACCATGTTCCGCATCAGGGTTCGAACCCACGTACCACGGCACTTGAGTTGAACACTGTAACCATTGGACCACAGCACCCTCAAAGGGGGTAGGTTTTGCCTGGTTTCCCGGCAGATTCTGAAATACCTATAGCAGCTGCAGAATGCCAGCATTTTCCACCTTCTGTTTTTAAAAAAATTTCAAAAATAGACTAAGCCAGCCTTGTGACACTTGTTGGTCTAAAGAGTCTAGGTAGTCAGTTGAGTCAAACTTTTATGGCCAAGGTGAGGCTAAAGCAAGTCTGATTCACAAGTGACAATCAGATATGTACAAAGAGGGCGCTAGACTGGCCCTCTGGGACCACTACAAAAATATTAAATTGAATCATGTGGTTTAGCTGTAGATCTTTGAAAAAAGATTCCAGTTTATTTATGTTGTTTTGTGCATTATTTTCACTTGAAAACAAAAAGAATGAATAACTCATTAGTGGACATAAAGGTCAGAACATACTGGACATGAAAGCGAACACGATCGTTAACTTTTGACGTCAAGGCAACTATTTGTGCTGCGAATTCACCAAAGTTGAATGTTTCCTGGAATAAGATTCCCTTCACATGTGCATTAGCATCAAGTATGAACCGGCCTGAATTCCAAGTATTTATTTGATCAACTCTTATCCATATCAGGGTGATGATGATGAGGAAGAGGCTAGTTACAAGAAGTGGCTGCGCGAGATGCCGTCGCCAAGACCCCAGCTTCCGCCATTGGAGGACCTACCGCCCACCCCTCTTAAACCACAGCGGCCCGGCAGGGACCTTAATGAAGACAACGATGATGTCGATGATGATGATTCAATGAGCTGGGATTCACTACCGGATCTCCCCGGAGAAGAGGACCACCCAAAGACTGCCAAAGAGAAACCCAAGAAGCTCTCGTTTCTGACGGAGGCGGCCGCTACCGTCCCGGGGCAGTTCCGCAAGCGCTGGGATGAGAAGCGAGATGCGACTGGACGGTACATCCCGGGGAAGGAGGTGATGGCAAGAGCATCTCTCGAAGATGACGGCGGTGGTGACGGACAGGATACAAAGACCAAAGCAGGTACGGTGGTCTGTTAGGCTGTATCCATATGACTTGGCTACATCTAACATGTGGAAGTGGCTACAACTGCTTCCATTGGTGATGTGTAATGGCTAAACAAATAAAGCCATAGCCCCAATTGCCCCATGTGCACACTGTCTAAGTCTCCCCTTTTTTAAAACCTTGGCTGCAGTTACCATTCTATTTCTGTCTCTTGTGCCAAGTTAAAGGGAATATACAACATTTGCAAACAACAACAAATAAAACTACCAAGTTTTTACGAAATACCTTACTAGGATGTTGGTTAATGACAGTCTAAAGCATCCTGTAAAATTATGGCACCTGGTGTGAAGTCATTTTCAAGAAAATGGTATTTTTGTATAAATTTCCAACGGTGGTCGGCCGACCACCGTTGGAAACACCTAACTATTTTTCAACTACTGCTCCAAGTTTACCATTTTTTTTCAGTCAAAATTTTGTTTGCTATTGGTTACATGTTCATGAACGGGTGAAAGCCAGCTAGACTGGTTCCCTTACCTTACAAATTTCAGGCATCTATAAATTGATCCATTTCATCTTAAGTGGAGTCAGGGAACCAGACTACTTGAACATTTTGTTTTTTCTTGGCTTTTCCAGCATTTTCGAACACAAAACTTCAAAAATGTCATCAGTGTAACAATATTTGATCTATTATACAAACCCCTCAAATAGTTCATTTTTGAAAATTGCAGCAAAAGCCAATGATGTACATTCCCTTTAAATCCGTAAGTGCTCAAGTTATGAGCTCCGTGCGCAAACAAGAGAGGGCGCCTGTTTACCACCTTCGAGAGCCCTGTGGACGGGACAAACAGCGTGCGCATAGTTGTTTGGGTGTGCGAAGTACGCACAACTATTTTTTTCTGAATGTTCAGCAATCCATACGGTCTTTGCATGAGCATCAGGCAGCATCGGCAATGCCTTTGAACGTATCTCCCAGTGGTCTCCCCCAACTCTCCCTTCCTTACCGTTGAGGGGGTACATGTACACGGAGCACATATTACTATATACATGTAGTTTGTAATTCATTCTAATCACAGCTGTTGACTTTTCATTGATGTAGATGCTTCGCATTTGCACTGACGTGCATTTTTTTGTTCTGCAGGAATGCCAGGAGTAGACATCCTTTGCATTCAAAATTACCGAACTACCGTAATATCATACTGTAAAAACCCTCAAAGATTACTGCTGAATGAAAGGTTTCACTAATTTCATTAAGCTTTTGAATCAGATAGCTCCAATTCCATCAAGTAAACCATGTCCCACATAACCATACTCTTGAATTTGTTTTAATTGCGCCAGGTCCAAGTAAACTCCGTTCCAGCACGGCACCTCCCCTGTCCTCCTCATTCACATCTCAATCCAGCAGCGGGCAGCGCAAGATCCAGACTGCCCGTAAGGACTGGCAGCCGCTCAGCCTGACAGCCCTGGAGGACTACAAGCCGGCCGTTCACCTGCTGGGCCAGGGCGACTTTGCCCAGGGGCAGGAGTTCATGTGGAAGCCCATCGTGGCCACTGCGGCTGACAAGCATTGACTTGTGGGTTGGGATCAGGGATTGACCCTGAAGTGATCATTGCGGCTTACAGGCTGCCTGTATTTGTATTTCCCGTCACAAGCCAATATACCCATCAGGCCGATGTTTATCTCTGTTTCCTTGGCATGAAATGACTGAGATAATTTCTGTTCCACCTGGATGGGATGCTATAGCAGGTTACTCCCCAGCTAATGGCGATACCCATTTACACTCCTGGGTGGAGAGAGACAAGTGGAGGTGAAGTGGCTTGCCCAAGGACACACATATGGCCAGCAGCTGGATTCGAACTCCTGACCCGCTGATCACGAGTCACGAGCCTAACCACTAGTCCACACTCCCCCCCCCCCCCCCCATGTATTTTCAGCAACATATGCAAAATAAGTTTTCAAATCCGATCACAATTCAGGCACTGAGTGTCAAAAACGTTTGTTTTGTGTGATGGAATGTTTGTGTTGGGGATAGGTAAATTCAAATATTGGGTTTCTTCTCACTAGCTTGTGAATTTTTTTCTTGCAAACTCTCAGCCAGCACCGAGTCTATACAGTGCTTGTGAAATTACGTGAGTGGAGTGCCGTGGCCTCGTGGTCTGGAGCATTGAATTCGTGGTCTGCGGGTAATTCTGCTGGTTGTGGGTTCGAGTCCAGCCTGCGGCTATGGTGCGTGTGCCCCAAGGCAAGGCACTTTGTCACTCATTGCTTCTCTCCAACCAGGAGTAAATGGGTACTTGTGAGGGCAGTTATTGCGGTTGATTTTAGCTGCTTTGCACCGAAATGGCAGCATGGAGCTGTATACTCCCCAGGGAGCTGAGATAGACTTTAAAATGTTTCATTGGCCCAATGAGCAGGGTAATAATGATGTAGCGCCTTGAGCACCAATACTGGTGGATACGTGCGCTTTATAAATACGCATTATTATTATTTTTACATTAGTGAAGGTCAAAACCCAATATTGAATTGTGTTGTTTTTCCTATGAATTTGAGTAATTAAGTAACAAAAGTTTGGAAAGTGCTTTTGGCATGTACAGCATTTTACATTAAGAAAAATTTGGTGACTGAAGGGTTAAAAGTAGTTTTTAAGTAAAACAGTAGTAAGGGGGGGGGGGAAATAACAACTGTTTATAATTGTGAAAATTGAATTCCGTCCCAAGAATGACTTCAAAGAATATTTGAAGACTGCTTTAGTGGGAAGTGTGCTTTCAAATTAAATCAGGTGAAGTGTTTACACGCTGAATTTCAATTCCGTCCTAAAAAGTATTTTAAAGAAATGTTTGAAGAATAATTGTGTTAAAGAAATGCTTTCAAATTTAAGGTATAAAGACTATCCATTCCGTCTCTAACATTCCTTTAAAAAGCTTGTCCTTTTCAGGAATGTGCCGTTCAAATAAAATTTTGTCTAAACACCGTATTCCTGTGCTGTGTCCAGAATCGGCCCTTTTTATTTTTATGGCTATGGCTAGTAATGCATTGCCATTAGCAGAAAGCAACAACAGCCATAGGCAAAATGTGCTCAATTATGGCACAGCCAAAGGCCTTTTTGAAACTTGGGTTTTAGCTCCTGTTTTGGCCGCAATGAAACGCGCATCTTTAACTAAAATTGTAAGCTGTTACCTAAAGCTGTAGACAAGGTTTGTAATGTGTATTCTAGGTTAATGGTGGATTAAATTTTGTACCACAAAACGAATGCAAAAATCCAACATGTCTTGAAATGACATCCTTTGTCATTATGAACTTTGTTCCCGACTTCTTTGAACACTGTTAAGCGAGTAATTTAACACAATTGAAATGTAAAAACAAAAGTTGGTTTGAGTTTTGCTTTACAACGGCACAGCATCTCTGATTACAAACTATAAATTGTATTGTGTGGCATTATGTATTAAGCTTTTTGTAAAAGTGATTTTGACTGGATATTATTTGCGTGTAATTATAAATGAGAATATTAAATTGTATCACGTTTTAAGATGAAAAATATTTTTGCACTTTTCATCCGTCCATATTATTAAGATCTTACTAAACGTTTTTGTAAATTATCATTTTTAAATTGTGTAAATTATATTTAACCAATGTTTTGGGTGCTACTGGATGTTAAATATCTATTTTCTTGGTGTACGTTTTTTTCTGGAAAAATAAATAAAAGAGTGTCTTTTAAAACCGCATGTATGGATTTCTTTGTTATTGACTTGGTAAAATTTGTAAATGATTGTTTAATTCAATCGCGAGAATAAACTAAAACCTTTTCTTTCATCTTAAAAATCATTTATTGGAATCACTTTTTCATTCAAAAGTAGCTTCACATAGAACTAAATGCAGTATAAAATGTATAAAATTCACTTACATGTATACGTCGAATTTCGAAAGTTCCACGGAATGGAAGACGTCAAAAACACTTTTGAATTTTAATAGGTATCTAAAAGCTGGAAAACTTTGGTTTGGGTTATGTATTTTCGTAGTAGAAAGACGGGGAAAATGAAAGTAAAAAGTTTAAATTTGACGATCGAAAAACATTTCAATTGTCATGAAAGGCAGTCGATTTTGTAAACACTCTTTAGTTTACCCATGTTTACGTTACATGCGTAGTGTGGACAATCCTTTGTTTTCGTGTAGTTAAAGAAAAACCTGTGAAAAAAAAATCATTTTACTCGCACTGTGAAAACACTTTCAACCCAATTTTTTTTTGCTGAGATTCCCATTAGTGTTTCTCTTCATTTTGCCACAAATAACCCTAACCCAAAGATATATCTAAACTTGTTTTCCAGAGAGGGGGAAACACTGTGTGGACTTGCCCAAGTCCAAACAACGTCGCTGCTACCTGGTTTATGTGGACCTCTTTTGTTCGGAAGTCCACACAGTGAATGTAATGCTTGTACACAATGAAAGGAAGCCATATTTGTAATACTCTCAGTTTTTCAATAATTAAAAAAATCGGTGGATGGACGTTAAAAATATACTTGAATAAGCTGTATTCCTCAGGATAGAGCATTATAGGCTATCAAGGTTTTTATAATTCTCATTCATTACATTTTTTATAACGCTAGTCTAGTCGTTTTAACCATAGAGCAACCTCCTTGCTCTGTGTTTTAACTGTCGTGCGTTTTGCACATCTCTTTTCCTTCCTCCATATGGTTCGCGGACGTAAGTCGACCTACTGCTTCATGAGCTTTCTGAGCAGTGCCAGCGCCAGAACTTTCTTATCCCGTCGCTCCTTAAGCCCGCCCTCATCGGCTGCAAGCTGTCGTGTGCGAGCTGGCTTCAGTTCTGTGTGGAGGAAAAAACGATGAAAATAATCAGACCAAAATTTTGAACTGGAGTTCAAAAGGACAACGTGACTTTGAGACATGAACCTATTGAATTGAGTCAAGTCAAATGAAATTAGCAGAATGGATTTTATGGAAAGCTAACTTCGGGTTTGTTTATCAAGGGCGAGTTTCGATGGTGAAGTTTGGACGGCCACTCCGTTTCTGTCTAATAGGTGTCTATGGGTCATTCTATAGACTATAGGTCCACCTTTTCGTCCCTATCTGACATCTATATGATTGTATATTTCTGGATGCATTCCTTAATGCAGTCGTCCTCAAGGAGTTAAAATTAGCAAATTATCCACCAAACAAACAGAAAATAGTTTATTCGTCATGATAATTGAATGGTAATCACAAAATTCAGTCACACATTGGCCTCTACATTTTTTAGGGCCCATAGGCCATACACACCTCCTATCGTGAACTATGGTCAAAAACTTTTGCGAATCTTACATTATTGCTCCAGTGGCATCTGGTAGCGTTAACCCGAACACCTCCAATGACTAACGCGGACAAAATTTAAGTTGTTCTAGTTCGTAATATATTTAAGCGAGGGAGGATGTTGTTTTCGTACATTTTTTGTACCATAACGTGGCGCAGCCCCCAACGTGGCGCACATTGATTTTTCGCCTCTGATGCATTGCTAAGGCAACTTTTTACCTCAAATTTCACAGAAAGCACCATTTCATTAATCTCTTAACATTCACATTAATAAATCTTGAGTTTACCTACCCGCTACAAAGTTCAAGAGAAATCTATTTTGGCGTAATTTTCCGATTTATATTTCGAAGTGCACAGGGAACCCTTTTAAAATGCGCCCCAAAATAAGAAAATAATTCTCTGACAAACTTGTAGTTGGGTATGTGAGTGGAGATAATAATGATTTCTCAGAAAAATCTGTAATTTTTCAAGTGGAAGTTTTCCAGGATTTGCTCAAGTGCGCCACGTTAGGGACCACTCGGCTGAATTTGTGCCCAATTTCCGGACGGCATCGTTTTTGAATTTCGGACTAAATTTCATGACACTGAAATTGTTCACAAAGGTTCAACAGCAATAAGCATTAAATAGGTAAAAGTATCAGTATTAAACTGAATGATTTTGAAGTTGATCAACAAAGATGTTTGGCAACACTGCATGAGGAAAGTCGGGGGTAACGTCAAAGTGCGCCACGTTGGGGAACACCACTATGTGAAGTGTTGTTGAACGTTTTTTTTTTTTAATGTTCCCCCTTCTTTTGTCTTCTTGTGCCCCTCCCCCTCCCCACGCCCATGTAAACAACTTGCCTCTGACGCAGTCGCGTCCGCCCCACCCATTCTCACACCGGCACGCCCAGCCGTTGTTGCCAAGGGAACAGTAACCGTGATTGTTGCAGTTGTTGGAGACGATCATGAGTCGGAGACAAGAGCTGGAACGGGTACTCAGTGCGTCTCTCTCATTGCCTGAAATAAAGTATCGGTCAAAATATGACGAACAATAATTCGGTTCATAACTATATTTGTTGTTAAAGTTATCCTCCGCGTGTTCTTCAACATATTTGATTTTTTTTCCTAAGGAATTGTCAATTTGTACATATTATTTCGAAGAAGGATCACCAGTCTGTAACCCTTTGACGAAATGATTATATTTTTGTTTGCGCCCTCAACGTCAAAAAAGACTCCCACTCCTGAATTTTTGTCTGGCCGCAAATAATTCGCAATTTTTAAAGTCGTTTTTAGCTATGGCTGAGCAGCTCAATAAGTCATCGTGTCTCTCCGTTAGTTGGTTCGTTGGTTAGTTAGTAACAAACGTCAGCAACAGCCTTGCATGGCTAAATCACCTCGGCCCTCATCAGGCCCGAGTATTATAGCTTCCTCAATCCCAGTACTTTAATGGGTCTCCACTGACCGCCTACCGAATTAAGCAGTCCATGGAAAATTGGGTCACTATAGATAGGGTCAAAAAACCTTATGTTTGTTCTGAAAACCATACTCCCTCCAGAAATTGCATGGCACAATCACGTCACACATGCATTAACATACTTCAATTTGCGACTGATCAACACACATTGGAAATTCCTAGTTTTTTAGTAAAAATCCATTATCTGTTTCGTGAGTTGTGGGGACGTATTCACCTATATAAATTGCCCTGTGGAGACGTATGTTCCCTACTGTGCACATGTCTCCAGAGGGTACCGTGTAACAGATCAAATTGCTTTGGCCCGTAGCTTCCGAGATTATTTGGAGCTTGTTCCATTGCAAAGAGTGGATTTTTTTGGGTTCAATTTCCCATTTAAAACTGAGTAACATTTGTATTATACTAAAAACCGCAATGTTGTTATCCCAGGATTGGGTTTTTTTTTCTTTCGTCTTTTCAAATCGAGTTTGTTCGTCATGAGAAACAGTATGAATTATTCTAGAAAATGCATATGTAATACATAAATGTTGCACACATTTCTGGGATCATTTTGGGGGATCGTGAAAACTGTTAACTCGCTGGCTACTTTTATCGTGTTCATTGTTTTTAGTTGTATTTTTTACAAAGGTAAAGATCGGTATGCCATGCATAATATTTCAGTTTAGGCCTAGGCTACATAAAAGATTCACCTCAACCAATTTTCTGAAATATTTTAACACAAATTGACATAAAATTGACATTATCATAACAAAGTCCCGCAAAATCTTTACCTTGAACGAGGGCGATGCATAGTGCGAATGCTATGGCGGAAATCACCAAAGACTTCATCTTGAACTGTGGTTTGTGTACCTGTCGATCGAGAAATTTAATCAACAGAAATTGATGTTATACTCAATCTCCATCAGTAAGTTACTTTAAAAACCAGTCATAAGGCCAAAAAAAAAAGTCTCCGGTTTCTGGTATGGAGCTTGCCCAAAAAGTGGTGCGGTGACGCGGCTTTTTTTTTTTTTTACCTGATTTTTTTGCTTCAAATGTGTGCTGATTACTGCAAATGGTGCCCGACTAAACTTAGTGCAAATATATGGGAGTCCAGAGAGGTCACATAAAGCTTATTCTCGACCATAACCTAATCTAAAAACACGTTAAAATTGTGCAGCAGCAGGATTCTAGTCAAACCAGTGAGTTTGGCGGTTTTGAGACATCATCTTTCATTGAAAAAAAAACTTTTTCATTTTGCCGACGCGCATGGCTACGGCGACGCGCGCGCATACCAGAAACCGGAGACTTTTTTTTTTGGCCTAAGACACTCTTACAACAACGGTTTATACCCCCAAAAAAAAGGAAAATAGAGACCAGGCCCAAAGCAAACAATAACTCCTTTTTTTTGGTCTTTTCTTATTTGTCCCTCAAGCTATTACCAAAATTGCCACAACTGTTTAGTTTGAAAACGTAGTCAACGAAGACTTAATAGACAGGCTATTGTTGTTCTATTAAACAACGAGCTATCTGTTCAAGTTACAGGATGCGCTAGTGTAAGCAGTTTTCTTAGGTCAAGGCGAGTTAACTTTCAAGAAAAAATTGTACCGTCTGCAAACCTAAAGCCGATAATCAAAGTAATCGAACTTCTCTTTGCAAAACAATTGGGAAAATTCGACAAACTTGCGGTCGTTGCTCTTACCTTTACTGACTAAAACTGGCCGCTTTTCTTTCAGCAGCTGCAAGACGACTGCACACTGCGACAACAGATCTTGAGGTCTTGGGCCACATGAACAATGTGGTTACCAACGACAACAAAGCAGTGAAGATGGTGTTTGCTCCGCCAATGGTCAATATTAGTTCTTCCCGCAGTGCACAGTGATGAAGACGCTCTACTTTGCTCATTCTTAACCAAGACATCGGTTGCTTAAGTGACATGCCGAAGGTCACAAGAAAGATTCGGGTCGTTTCTGTGGTTGTTATGTATGGAATGTCATGTAGTTTGAATCCGTTAGAATCCTCAAAGGTTGTCTTGTTCAAACGTATACAATGAGCAAAACCTCGAGAAAATCTTTGAGCAAATTTGTTGAACTATACTCGAGCCCAAGACCAGCTGAATGTGTAACATCGGACCGGGTGTGGAGCACAGTGGTGGAAAAGAAAAGGCAGTGATAGGCCTGGTGTTTTAATGTGTTTTTTGGGGGGCAACCGAGAAAATAATTGAGCTGTCATCATTTACAAGTTTGTCGATTAACAACGTGGAGCGACAACCTTGAACCTTTTATTTTGGCGGGCGGGGGGGGGGGGGGGGGGGGGAATCAGTAGCTTTGTGAATTCAGTTATCTCTTAAAATAAAGCATACTCGTCGTACTGTAGCTTAGCCTTGGGATAACAGGCGGCTCAATTGATCACCTGGGGAGGTTGATTTTACCACATCACTCGAAGTACTCAATGTGCATGTTAAATATTTGTTCAACATTCGCGAAATAAACAGGGCCGGTTTGGAAATTAAGACAAAACACCAACAAAACTACCTATTATTTATTTTTTTACAATACCAACTGGCAGCAGCGTATACAGCTTTTGATGTCGGGGGGGGGGGGGGGGGGCAACCGCACATCCGCGCCGAAATGTACACATGTGTTTTTTTTCCCCGGACAATTGGCCTTCGTAAAATAAAAAAAAAGGGGGGGGGGGGGGGGGGTTACCCATCTTCCAAATGGGGGCGCTCTTCAAAACTTACCATTATAATGCATACTTTTCACGGCGCATTGTATTGGTTGTTGAGCGGGTTTTCTTTTGTGGGATTGATGTCACAAAAACTCTATAAAAATGTATTTAAATCATTGCTGACAAAAAAAAATTGTCACAAAAATCTGCCAACTGGATGTTCATATTGATGTTAACGGAATCATCTATATTGTCACACCTCAATGGCGTATCCAGTTTTTATTGTCGGGGGGGGGGGGGGGTCGCACATCCGCGGCCGAATGAAATGCAGACATGCTTTTTTTCCCCTCCGGACCGTGACTTGGCCGTAAAATCAAGGGGGGGGGGGGGGGGAACTGGGTTGGTACCAAAGAGCAAAATTAATGTAGGTCACCCATCTTCGAAATGGGGTCGCTCTTTTCAAAACTGATTATGCATACGGAGAAAAATGCTAGTTTCACGGCGCACTGTAAAATGGTTTTGAGCTTATTTGTTTTTCATGTCAAAACTACTTAACCATTTAGGGAAAGGAGGCTAAGGACTTCCACAAGGAGGCTAATGCAAGGATACGTTGCTCCATTGCTCCACGGTATGGGTACAACTCACAATAGACTTGAATCAAGTCTATCAGACGGGGATCTATGCACGATCGATCCCTAACCACGTATTTTGTCGGAGACACGACTGGGTACCCGACCACCATTTCCAATGCAGATCAACGTCATCCTCGTCAATTTGTTTAAGTTTTCTCTCATTAAGTTTCAACTAAAAAGTTGACAAAATCAACAGTATTCTCTTTATTTCGTCCAGGCATACACATACCAAACGTTGTTGCGTGAAGTACTGCTTGAAAACCCAAAGGTAGGTTCTACATTTTTATCAAAAACGTTGTAGTAATTCGTGTTTTCTCCCGAAATGAGTTCTACTACTGTTTATCAAGCCTCGTGTCTGTTCTTACAAGTTGTGAAAAACGGCACACAAAATGTTGGTTGTTTACAAGTTTTAATGCCTTCAAAACTCACAAGTTCGTCATGCAACTGCTATCCAATGATTAACAAAGTTCTGGAAAGTCAGTAGGTATAAGCACACATCAATTGACTGAATAAAACTTGGTTGAGGAAACTTTCAACGTTGGAATAAGACTTGCACAAAGCAGAATGAAAACGATAAGTGAAAGGTCACCCACATGTCACACTGCGCAAACGCAGCACAGCGAGAGTGAACTCCGGTGCCAATGGCAACCAAAACTTATTAACATACTTATTTGTATGGAACGCCTGTTGGAGCTAAAAGAACAAACACTTAATTATATACACATGTACATGTCACTACAGTAGCTCCCCTCTAGATTGTAAGAGATAAATGAAACAATCGATACAAGCAGTTGATAATAACAGTCAGTGACAGTCGAATTGTTCATATTTGGCTGGCCAGTGAACTCGTCGACCAGCTCTGGTGGCTCGTTGCGGAGGAGATGGCGTCTCTGGCAATGGGGGTTGTGCAACCGGCAAAACAGTTCTCGCGGGGGCGTTCTCGCGAATCTGTCGGGAAGACGACGTTTCTGTGGCTGGGGGGTGTGATTCTGGCAAAACAGTCCTTGCGGGCGTGCTCTCGCGAATCTGTTGGGAATGCGCGTTTGTCCAGTCGTCATCAAGATACGCCACTTTCAGACGATCCTTGGCAACCGCATCCCGTCGGCCGTTGAGGTCCAAAACAAAGTATTTGCTGGCGCGCTTGATGATGCGAAATGGTCCATCATACGGAGGTTGTAGGGGTTTTTTCACTGCATCATGACGAACAAAAACGTGTGTGCACTTGTCTAGGTCAGCTGGAATGTGTGATTGTCGCTGTTGTGGCCTGGGCGGAGTGGGACGAATGTCCTGCATGTGACAACGCAGCCTGTGAACATACACACTGGGGTCGAGCTCAGCATGATCATTGTTAGGCACAATAAACTCACCAGGAAGCCTGACTGTGGTACCGTACACCATTTCTGCTGGAGAGAAACCGATATCTGACTTGATAGCGGCTCTGATGCCTAACAGGACGAGGGGAAGAGATTCCGTCCAACGTGGGTTAGCATGAGTCTTTAGCGATGCCTTGAGTTGTCTGTGTAGTCGCTCTACCATCCCATTTGCAGCAGGATGATATGATGTAGTGTGAATTCGTTGACAACTGAGCATGTCAGTGAGCATTCGAAAAAGTCGTGACTCGAACTGGCGTCCTCTGTCGGTGGTGATGGTAGCTGGTGCACCGAACCGAGAAACCCAGTGGGTAACGAATGCATGGGCCACAGTCTCAGCAGTCATGTCAGGAATGGGGATCGCCTCCGGCCAACGTGTAAATCTATCCACACACGTAAGCAGGTAGGACTGTCCGGCTGATGGTGGAAGGGGACCGACTAAATCGATGTGTACGTGTGAGAATCGTGCGTCGGGTGTGGAGAACGTACCAAGTGGCGACTTGATGTGGCGATGAATTTTGCATTGTTGGCACTTGCGACAAGTCTTAGCCCAAGCGCGAAAGTCTTTGTTAATACCAGGCCACACGAACCGTGCAGTAAGTAACTGCTGTGTGGTCCTGATACTAGGGTGCGACAGTCCATGCAAAGCGTCAAAAACTGTTCGACGAAACTGGGCTGGGATGAAGGGTCGAGGCGTCCCTGTGGAGGTATCGCATAGAATGGTACCCTGCGATGTCTGGAGGGGGACGGCAGTTAGCTGGAGAGAGGTGTCGGGGAGATGTTTCAACTCGTCGTCATCGATCTGTGCTTTAGCGATGGCGTCGAAATTGATAGTCACGTTCGTTGGTAAGGCATTAACCTCCAGACGAGAGAGTGCATCTGCCGCTGCATTATCATGGCCGCTGATGTGTCTAATGTCCGAGGTATACTGGGATATGAGGTCAAGTTGTCGAATCTCTCGAGGAGAATGGCGGTCTAGTTTGGAGTGTAGGGCGTACGTAAGGGGCTTGTGATCAGTGTAAGCGCGGAATGTCCGTCCCTCCAGCATGTGTCGGAAATACTTGATGCCGAGGTATAGAGCTAAAAGCTCTCTACCAAAAGTACTGTAGCGGGTTTCCGCTGGTTGGAGGCGCTTGGAGAAAAACGACAGTGGTTGCCAAACACCCTTGACGTGTTGCTGGAGAACACCGCCCACGGCCTTGTCCGATGCGTCGACTAAGAGGCATAACGGTGCGTCAGTCTGTGGGTGGACTAGGAGTGTTGCGTCGGCCAATGCAGCTTTCACACGCTCGAAAGCTAGCTGCTCGTTCGGCCCTAACTGAATCGGCTCGTTTTTCTTCCTCCTGTTCTTGAGCAGGTCGGTCAGGGGCTGGAGAATGTCTGCACAGTGGGGAACAAAACGCCTGTAGAAATTGATGAGGCCAAGAAATTCCCGCAACTTACTCAACGATGCCGGTTCCGGGAAATCTCTGATGACTTGCACCTTGTCAGGCAAAGGACAGACTCCATGCTGGTTGACGAGATGACCGAGGAAGGAGAGGGATGGCACGCCGAACTGGCATTTGTGGGGGTTTATGACTATGCCATATTGCGAGAGGCGGTCGAACAGGAGTCGAAGGTGTTCTTTGTGTTCAGCCTCTGATGAGCTCGCTACCAGCAGATCGTCAATGTAGGCGAAGACAAATGGTAAACCACGGGTTACCTCGTCGACGAACCTTTGGAAAGTCTGTGCCGCATTACGGAGCCCAAAGGGCATGCGCACAAACTCGAATAATCCAAACGGTGTAGTGATGGCAGTCTTACGGATGTCTGTTGGTTCCACTGGTATTTGATGGTAGGCGCGTACCAAATCAATCTTGGAGAACAGCGTGCACCCGTGAAGGTTGGAGGAAAAATCCTGCAGGTGTGGAATTGGGTAGCAGTCCGGAATGGTGTTCTTATTGAGGGCGCGGTAATCACCACACGGACGCCAATCCCCGGGAGTTGACTTAGGTACCATGTGCAACGGAGAGGACCATTCGCTACTGGAAGGGCGAACAATTCCAAGGCTAAGCATATGGTCAAACTCAGCCTTGGCAAGTGGTAGTCTGTCCGGGGCAAGTCGACGGGGTCTAGCCGCAACCGGGGGGCCATGAGTTTCGATGTGGTGCGTGATGTTGTGCCGTACCTCCGTTTGCTTATACACAGGACGCACTACATCGGGATACCGGCTAAGGAGCTCGTCGTATTGTGATGAAGCTGCATTCACAAACATGGGGCTCGCGGACGGGGTACCAGACATTATTCCTTGTATGACAAGACTAGTTATGGAATCGACAAGTCGCTGGTTCTTTACATCGACTAGTAGGTTGAACTGCCGAAGAAAATCAGCTCCAATAATAGGGGTTGGCAAGTCGGCAACAATAAAAACCCAACGGAATACTCGGCGAAGTCCCAAATCTAAAGTCAGAGACTTCTCGCCGTAAGTTACAATAGGTGAGTGATTGACCGCTTGTAGCTGTATAGAAGTAGGTTGAGCTCGTGACTTGTGACTGCGTGGCAAAACACTCACCTCAGCGCCGGTGTCAACTAGGAAACGAGTGCCTGTGGCCTTGTCAGTTACATGGAAGAGGCGACTTGTTGTATCGCTGCCAGACCGACCTGTCGCCGCTAGTCGTTGGCTTGGCCGTTTTCCTGGTTCCGTTGTGGTTCTGTGCGTCGGGAACAAGGACTGGTGCATTTTCGTGCATTAGTTCCGTACTTCCAATGATACCAGCATTGGCGGTCGCCGGATGGCTGGTTATCGGCAGAAGGGGTTGGACTACGTTGTCTGGGTCGACTGCGGGAGGAAGAGCGGGGACGGCCTTGTCGCTGCATGCCCTGTAGCTGAAAAGTCAAGGCCTGCACTTGCCGAGTCAGGTCATCAACCTTTGCGTGCAGAGTGAGTACCTCAGGGGAGGCGTGTCGTTGCGGGGGGTGGAGGGGTGGTGAAGAAACCGTGGAAATTTGCGATGCCGGCGTAGAGTGGGCAGACACCTCAACAATTTTGTCAGCCAAATCTGCCAGTGCTCCAATTCCCACAGTGTCCGCTGTGGAGGCCAAAATGGACTGGACGGTGTGGGGAAGTCGCTGTACAAACAACTGTTTCAAAATCCTCTCCTCCAGCTTGTTGTCCCCCAAAAGCTGGTGCATGCGCCGCAACAACTGCGAGGGCTTGCGATCTCCCAATTCCTCTGAAGTAAGCAGCTGGTGTAATCGTTTCTGCTCAGAAACTGAAGTGCGGCGAATGAGTTCAGATTTCAGCTTATCGTAGCAGTCCGTGGATGGGGGTGTAATCAGGATATCCCGCACCTCTTGTGCGACCTCCGGTTGCAAAGATCCGATAACGTAGGCAAAACGAGTCTCCTGGGTAGTGATATGGCGGATGACAAACTGAGCCTCCACCTGGGTAAACCACAGGGTTGGGTCATTAGGCCAAAATGGAGGGAGTTTGAGGCTTACTGCAGCTTGCATCGGCATGACAGGCGGTTGAAATGGGTTAGAGGGAGGTGGAGTTGGAGGCGGTGTACCCTCTGTCCCATCAGGTTTAACTTCCACAGACATGGCTTGTGCAGAAGGTCACAATTGTTCAAAACAGGGTCACCAGTGTAGTAATTCGTGTTTTCTCCCGAAATGAGTTCTACTACTGTTTATCAAGCCTCGTGTCTGTTCTTACAAGTTGTGAAAAACGGCACACAAAATGTTGGTTGTTTACAAGTTTTAATGCCTTCAAAACTCACAAGTTCGTCATGCAACTGCTATCCAATGATTAACAAAGTTCTGGAAAGTCAGTAGGTATAAGCACACATCAATTGACTGAATAAAACTTGGTTGAGGAAACTTTCAACGTTGGAATAAGACTTGCACAAAGCAGAATGAAAACGATAAGTGAAAGGTCACCCACATGTCACACTGCGCAAACGCAGCACAGCGAGAGTGAACTCCGGTGCCAATGGCAACCAAAACTTATTAACATACTTATTTGTATGGAACGCCTGTTGGAGCTAAAAGAACAAACACTTAATTATATACACATGTACATGTCACTACAACGTCCTTTTTGCATCGTCGTGTTGTCAACTTGAAGTTGACAGGAGCAATGTGTTTATCACTCAGCCTATATGTACTTGTACACTGTATGTCCGTGCAGTCTGTGTAGAAAAAAAAAATCTCCGGAAATTCGGTGGGCGGGGTGAGTCAATTTCCACTAGCACTAGCAGTACTTGAGTACTATTTGATAGTGGAGGGAGGGGAAGGGGAAAGAATGTCCATGCAGCATCCAGACACCATTTCTTTGGTCGACACGACCTAGCCCCACTAGTGTGGCCGTCGGTATGCTGCGCTGAACCTCTGGCCACACACCGTGGTACCGCGCGCTACTGAGGACGAAGTTTCATAAAATCTGCGGTCCGTTTCTTACATTCTCAGTTTCTGACTTTCTTATGGTTGTATTCTATGATGTTTCACCTATCACTTCTGGGATGCTTAGGTCTAATGATGTTCCATTTTCCGAGATATTCTTCAATCTTTCTGGAGCCCATATGCACTCGTGAAACGTCTGGTGATGGCAGCCATTTTGAATGGGACAAGAGATGACCTCAAACTGTGACGTCGCGTTTATGCAAATTGCTTGTCGAGCGCGCGAGGGCGCAAGTTGCAAATGCGACGGCTGTTTCCTGTACCATGCATTTATCGTCAGGGGGCCACGTGCACCGATCTCTATTCAGGATCTACGGCACAGGAAACAGCCGTCGCATTTGCAATGGCTGCCATCACCAGACGTTTCACGAGTGCATATGGGCTCCAGAAAGATTGAAGAATATCTCGGAAAATGGAACATCATTAGACCTAAGCATCCCAGAAGTGATAGGTGAAACATCATAGAATACAACCATAAGAAAGTCAGAAACTGAGAATGTAAGAAACGGACCGCAGATTTTATGAAACTTCGTCCTCAGTAGCGCGTGGTACCACGGTGTGTGGCCAGAGGTTCAGCGCAGCATACCGACGGCCACACTAGTGGGGCTAGACACGACCTAGCTTGAGCACATACAAACTTGGCCTATGCATCGTGCGGGAATTTGCATGCCTGCGCACTTGCAGTCATTTTTAGAAAAAATATGTCGGTGACTTGCTACATCACAGACAACCCGAACGTCTGCGGGTCAATCCAGGTCAATTCCCGCGCGGACCATCTATTTTTGAACCGATCGATATTGCGGTCGGCCGATATGTAATCTGATACGTTCCCACGCCAAGGCAAGGCACTATGCATACATGCTGCATACAAATGCGTATACGTGTATGTACGTGTATTGGATGATCCAGGGGATCGGCGAGCTAAAGTTCAAGTCAATTTTTTTCAAATCGGAGTTCGACTCGAAGCTTGCTTCATTTTATTTTTGACCAAAATGCAACTTGGGATTACATGTATATTCAAAGTTACATAATAGGGCCTAATACAGCAAATATGAAAGATCGTTTAGATCCCTACATCATTTGTTGTGAATTAGCTACTGAAAAACACAGTACAAAATAACCTTATTTAAGTTAAATAACTTTTCAAAATCTGCACCTGTGGTTTTTAGTATTTTACGACGATGGAAAAAAAATCATTTTTAAAGTTCTTTATCCTTTTTTCCCCGGCATATTTTTAAAGTTATATTTCATTGTCATAGTGCTAGCCCGGGGCGGATAAGCATCGTGTCTTTTTGCTGTCAGTCTTTATGGGGTTATCATTTTAAAAAATTATTGTGTTTTACAGGCATATTTTATTCATAGGTTAATTTAAATGTAAGTTATACTATTGTCAGTTCTTGCATGCTGTTTTTACTGTTTTTACTCTTTGATTTTACACCAGGACAAGAATGTGTTTGTTTTTAACTTAGATGACTAATAAAAGTACGATAACGAATGTTCACCACTTGTCAATAATGTCGAGAAGTTATAACAACAAAGGCATGAAAATAAAAGGAAATACACTTGATGCCAACTTCACGAAAGGGGTAGATCATGGGGGCAATTCCGAAGAGTCGTCAAAAAACAGACGCAAAACAAACAATCCAGATTATCATCTCCCCCAGGCTAATACATAGTCAAAAACTCGTTCTTTAAAAATCGAATCAAAGTAAGTAAGCAGTAAGCATGACAAGTCTTCTAAAAAATAGTTTTGAAATTTTTTGAATCAAATTGCAAAAGTTTTTCAGCGTTTTTACGGAGGGACTAAATTATCAGTCCAAAAATCATACCTTTTTTTCAAAATTCTTGTTTCAGCTGAAATTGGTAAATGCACGCAACGAAGATTTTTTGGAAAGAAGTCTGGGTCAAAATCAGATAAAATCAACGAAATCATAACAATCAATGTTGAGAAAACTTCACCTGAATGTCTTTTGATTTTTTACGAAGAGACAAATTCGTGCAAAGGGTGGGGAATGGGTATCGGCAATTTGCCAAAACAACAAGTGTGTGGGATTTAGTTTTCACGACCAGACAAACATCTATGGGGATTAGTTACGATACCAGTACCTCGCAATTGTTGTTCCATTATTCTGTAATTGGTACATCTTTGAAGTTTCATCTGTGTTTCAAAAGTTAGTCAGTAGTAGGCGAAATGTTTATTCCAAATCGTGACCAACTTAAAACCTCTTTTCTGACAACCACTGCAAGTTCAACGGGTGCATTATGTTATACCTGTTCCCCAAACCTAACCCTAACCATTAAACCCCAACACCTATTGCGGCAAATTCACCCCTTTGTGAAAACGCTGACAAATTGGAATAAGCGAAATCTGGATAAAGTCAACACTGATAACTCAAAACCTGAAAGTCAAACCATCCCTCCGTGGTCAAAGAAAACTGCATAGTTCTACGAAATAAAACAATATATATACCCTGATTAACCAAATTTCGAGTTGTTTCGTAGCTGCATGGGAGGCTATACTATCAAGGTTGGGGCCTTAGGCCTATATATCGCAAGTCCGACTCCTCCGATGATAAACCTGGACCCCCGCCACGCCTCGGAAGTCCGAAATTTCCAAATTATTAGGCGTCGGACTGATGAGGTGTCGGACCTAGGCGTTGGAATTTTATAAGTTATGGGCCTTATATTAGATTTTGCCGGACTTGGGGCCTATATGCGTCTGACATATATGAGGCTTAGCGGAGCCCTTAAGATTTCCCTTTAAGTCCAATGTTATTGAAAGGTCAGAAACGATGGAAAATGATGAATACTCCGAATACAAAATACTCTAAATAATTATGGAGAACTAGTGATCAAAGGCATCTTGTGAGCGAATAGTTCGTCAGTACTGATTGTTATTCTCCTCTGATGTCATTGTGTATCGTCTAAACATGAGAATGCAGTTTCTATTTTGTTGGTTTCTGACAAAGGAAGGCATTTCAAATACATGTAGTTTGCTCCAATTTTTAGAGAAAATATTCTGAACTTGCGGAAAAAGGACCCACCAAGTCAGAACGTCGGCCAAAGAGGCGAAAAAAGATATGTTTTTTTTGCATGCCTATATAGAATGTATAAGGGAGGTGTTTGGTACGCCCACGGGGGTACGGACGTGCGGATCCAGATAATCCACCCTAAGAATTTCTGTGTAATAAGCCATGCTAGAGTAAACTTTTAAATAATAAAACATGAATCAATGAAGTTGGAGGCTCACTCAGATGCCAGGTAAGGGAGCCGCTGGTACGTTCAAGTTTGACACCACCGAGGAGAAAGAGAAGGCTGCCGGCCAAGGCTAATGCAGCTAAGGAGAAGGAGAGAATCAAGGCCAAGAAGGAACGGGAAATGAAAGCCAAGATTGCAGAAAAGCCAAGAAAGCCAAAATGGTGAATAAAGTCAAGAAACCCGCGCCGAAGAAGTCACCCAAGAAAGCTGCCAAGAAAACGCCATCCAAGTCAAATATACATCTGTCAAGAAATCCTCCACCAAGCCATGCCAGCCAAGTCAACCAAGCTCAAGCCAGCCAAGAAGCCAGCCAGCAAGAACACATCAAGCAAGCAGAAGAAAGTGTCGGCCAAGCCTTCGAAGAAATCATTGAATCAACAAACTAAAACCAAAACGGCTCTTTTCAGAGCCACAACATTTTCACAAAATAGATATGAGATATTCGTTTCTGCAATTTGCATTTTTTTTTAATTTTATATTTTTCATGATTACTGTTTTTAAGTTTTCGTATAAAGCCCCCACCCCCCCCCCCCAAAAAAAACCCCAAAAACATCATTGCATGAAAATAAGATATTTTCACCCCATTCCATTCCGCGCCAGGGGACTGCGCAAAGGGTGAATAAAAAAAACCATGATATTCCAACCACCTGATTCGGAGTACTCTAACCCCCCCCCCCCCACACACACACACACAGTCGTTTTTTGCTATGCTTCCGAGGATTGGCTTTGTGTTTTCCTTTGTCCCTGTAATATAACACTCTCCCATAGACTAAGCACACAAACCTGCGTTCGAGGACAATAGGCACCTTCCTTCGAGGATCAATGGCCCCTTTGTGCTCCTTTTGTTGTCTGTCCTCAGGCGTAATGCCATGCAGGAACACGCACAC